CATGTGGTGGATCATGGCTAATAACTATGCGCATACTAGATGCCTACCGGAACGAGAACTATGACCGCCAGATCCTGACCGAGATGGGCGAACTCGGCCTCCTCGGCGCGAACATTGAAGGGTATGGTTGCGCCGGCGCAAGTACCGTGGCCTCCGGTCTGATCACGAAGGAGGTCGAGCGTGTGGACTCTGGATACCGTTCAGGAATGTCTGTGCAGAGCTCTCTAGCCATGACAGCCATCCATGACTTCGGTACACAGGAGCTAAAGGACCGGCTTCTCCCGGAGCTGGCCAAGGGAAAACTGGCTGGATGCTTTGGCCTCACTGAGCCCAACCACGGCTCTGACCCTGGCTCCATGGAGACAGTCGCCCGGGAGCACCCTACCAAGAAAGGGTACTACTTGCTCTCTGGCACCAAGACCTGGATTACCAACTCCCCTATCTCCGACATCATGATCGTCTGGGCTAAGCTGCAGACCACGGGCAAGATTCGTGGATTCGTCGTCGAGCGCAGCCAATGCCCACCGGGCACTCTGGAGACGCCCGCCATCAAGAACAAGACTGCCCTGCGCGCCTCCATCACCGGTATGATCCAGATGGACGACTGCCCTGTTCCTGCGGAAAACATGTTCCCCGAGGTTCAAGGACTTGCTGGTCCCTTCACCTGCCTTAACAGCGCCCGCCTGGGCATTGCCTTTGGAGCTATGGGTGCGCTTGAAGATTGCCTGAACCGTGCCCGCACGTATGCGCTCGAGCGCAAGCAGTTCAAGGGTAACCCGCTGGCGAAGTACCAGCTCATCCAGAAGAAGCTGGCTGATGCGGCTACGGATGCTGCGTACGGCACACTGGCTGCGACGCAGGTCGCCCGGCTCAAGGATGCCGGAAAGTGCACACCGGAGATGATTTCGATGGTCAAGAGACAGAACTGTGACCGTGCCCTGGCTAACTCGAGAATGTATGCCCTCCATATGGACTCCTTTGGCGGGAACGCAAGCTGATTCATTCTATTACAGTCTCCAGGAAGTGTTCGGCGGCAACGCAACGAGTGACGAGTACCATATCGCCCGGCATGTAGCCAACCTGTTTGTGGTGCAGACCTACGAGGGACAGAGTGACATTCATAGTGAGTATCACCTTGTACTACTTTCCTGTATATATGGTGACTAACCGCAAACCAGCCCTGATCCTCGGCCGCGCCATCACCGGCGTCCAGGCTTTCGTCTAGACCCACAGACCGACAAAGATGTTACTACCTTAACCCTTAACTGAGTTCATCTACCTGCCTCCCTACCTGATGAAACCCTCACACATACATGTACATATACAACCACAAATATCCAAACAAGGGGCTACAATGACCCCTCATACATACTCCATATCCCAAGCACTACCTACCCACAGAATATCTCTCATCCACTTACCCCAAACAGTGTGAAACATAGTAATACTAGATATGAATCGACCCTTCCAGAAACAATCTACCCCATCACGTGAGAAAGAAGTAACGTACCGAAGCACATGCTGCGCCACGTGGCAAGGGCACCCGCAAACCGCACGGTATGTAACATGATTACAAAGAGGAAGAGTTACTTAGTTAACTAGTTCCTTGGGTAAAGTTAGTCATAAATTAAACGGTGGTACAGAAATCGGGTTTGCCTCCCCAATGAATGATCCCGGATCGATGGTGGAAGAATGACCACACACGAGCTTAGTAGTAATTTTCTCAAGGTTAGGTTTGGTGCAACTTCGGGAAGAGAAAGTTTAATAAATAGAACATGTTGTTTTTTATGTTTTTTATGTTACACATTAGAAGAGGGGTTGGTTGGTTGGGGCCGAAGGGGGGGGGTATGATCTATCTACTACATGTGTAGTATGGATGTGGGGATGGAAAGGAAGTACAGAAGGGAAGAGTTTGAAGCAACTACGTAGTAACTGACTACAAAATAGGGTAAGTAGTTTGCAACTTGCCGTTGCCACTGCCGTCGGGAAATAAATGGATCTGATGGAAGATTAATTCATTTTGTGGGGTGTTGGTTGGGTGGCACAGATAAATTAATATTTGATAATAGTGAGTATCTACCTTGTTGTATAGTGTAGTATAGTATCTGCTAAAGTAAGAGGGGTGTAGGATCGGTATACTACCTTAATATAAATCGGAGTATCTTTTAGGAAGTCATATGCTTGTCCGGGATGCATGCACTTGAAGTAGTATCTACTAGTCATCTAACTGTAATAGGCCTAATAGGTGTAGGTGTGCGTGATAGATTACGAGTTATATTACAAGAAAGAGAGAGAGAGAGAGAAAAAAGGCAAAAAAAAAAAGGAGATCCATTATTCTTGCTAATATCGACCCAGTTAACGGGCAGAACCAACATTGCAAATGGGCAAACAACGGTGGTGGCCACCAGTTAGGTAAGTACGTAGTACAAAGTGAGCGGACTGCCGGTAACCACTCAGCCTATCGGTTTTGTCCACCGTCCGATTGATACCCGTCTGGGAGGGACCCGAAATTGTAGGTGTGGCTGACAATGGACGGAGGGAGGGGCTGTTCAGGTGGATATCTTGGATTACCAGGGCTGACTTGGGGATGATGACGATGTTGGTGATGACGGGGAGTACCGGTGTCATTTAGCTTATTCATAAGGGGGGAAATAGCCTATATTTGGGTCTCCAACTATTGGATGATCAATATTGGAAAGAAGAGGAAGTAGCAGAATGGGCAGAAGCAGGATGATGCATCTAGAATGTCCGACTGGATTGGGAAATGACGATGGAAAGAGAGGGAGGGTGTGGCGCAACAGTGGCTGACGGGCACCTGACTAAGGCAAACCCGATTAAATAAGCCGAGTAATCAGTCGGTAATAACCGGTAAATACGGGTTCAGAGGGGCTGGTGACTGGGCTGGGTTGCCCGCCTTTCCCTTTCTCGCTCTTCCCGTCCACTGACTGACTTTCCCTCTTCTTTCTCTTCTCCTCTCTCTCTTCCTCTTCTCCTTCAGCCCAATTCTCCCTCTTCTTCCTGTTCGTCTTCCGACGTAATCAGCCCACGGTGAGTCTCTTCCTCCATTCCATCCTCAACCCCTCTCAACTTCCCCCTCCAGTCTAGTCGACTTTGCTAGTCGTCTTCTTCTTTGCTCCTGTTCGTCGTCGTCGTTGTTCTCTTCTTACATATCTCGCCGTTGTGCTGACTGGGAAATCGTGTGCAGATTTCCACCTTCAAATTCGATACCACTCGCTTTGCACTTTTAACCTAGGAGATCCTCTCCATTCTTTACACATCACACATTCGCCATGGCTCTCAAGAGAATTAACAAGGAACTCACTGACCTCGGCCGGTAAGACTTGTCCTCATCTTCTTGTTTCCCCTCGTCTGCCTCTTTGCCGCCGCCTGGTGTTTCACCCCACCACAGCCGCGGGGCGTTCGTCTATCCTCCGCCAGACAGCGCCTGTGTCATTACACATTGCCAGGGCATGTATAGGACTGTGCTAACGTAGTTGTCTTCATTTACAGTGATCCCCCCTCTTCTTGCTCTGCTGGTCCTTCCGGAGATGACCTGGTATGGTTTCACCCCTCCGACCCCTCGTTGCACACGGTCGCATTGCCGCTTTCGCCGACTGCGGCGGGGCAATCCAACGCAGATTTGCCTCAGACCTTCTATCAACGACATAATGCCTGAAATGAATACTGACAATGGTTTGCTGCACAGTTCCACTGGCAAGCAACTATCATGGGTCCTGTGAGTATCCCCGGATTTCTTCTGTGACGTTTGGATGTGCAAGTGTCTTTGTTCCTTTGTCGGGAGGACCTTGTGGCACCCAACGGCGTCTTCAGTCTTGTTATCTTGGAGTAATCATTGCTAACGCTACTTCCAGGGTGACTCCCCTTACTCAGGAGGTGTTTTCTTCCTGAACATCCACTTCCCCACCGACTACCCGTTCAAGCCCCCGAAGGTCAACTTCACCACTCGGATCTACCACCCCAACATCAACGCCAACGGCAGCATCTGCCTTGACATCCTCAGAGACCAGTGGAGTCCCGCTCTCACAATCTCGAAGGGTATGTTCTCTGCCTACAGACGCTAATCACGTATATACTGACTGTTGCAGTGCTACTTTCGATCTGCTCCATGCTCACAGACCCCAACCCCGACGACCCGTTGGTGCCGGAAATCGCTCACGTGTACAAGACGGACCGTCCCCGGTATGAAGCGACCGCGCGGGAATGGACTCGCAAATATGCCATCTGATCTTCGCAATTCAATTTCCACGGCCACCTTGGTCTTCCCAATCCGCTTCTGCGTCTTCTTTCGCTCCGTTAGATCAGATCCGAAGCCTGGCGTACCGTGATCGTAGATCCTTTCCTTGTTATTCTCCGTGAACTATTTGCGTGTGTCTGGAATTCCGCGTTTACCCCCTTATTTTCGCTTTCTCCTATTTATTTGCGGGGGAAATGTCATATCCAACGATCATTATGACCACTTCTCATTATGCATTCATGGCATTTTTTATTTTCACTCAATGGAGTCGGATAAATGTTACCTGATGAACATAAGGCCCCTGGAAGGGTGTGGTTTTCGATAATTCCTCGGGTCGGGGTTGAGGGGAGGATGCTGGGTACTGGTACGGTCGTGAGGCTGAAGCCTCTGGGTGGTGGAAATGGATAACCGGGGATGAGGAGAGGAGACGAGGGAAGTAGGGGTTGGTTAATTGGCGATGCTGCTGGTAAGGGATTTGGTGGCTTGTATTCTTCAGTAGGACCAATCAGTAGGAACCATTAGCAGGAACCAATTACCAGTGGATCGTGTGCTCAGCAGTGTAGGTGTAGATACTGTAGATACATGTTAAAGACTCAACTGGCGGTGTGTTTGCCTATAGGAACAGCATAGTATAGTAGTCATATTGATGCCTCAAGGCTAACAAGGGGAAGCTATGCGCTGATTCCCTCATCTATTCCACCATCATTCAACCTGTATCAATATACTGCAGAATAAATCATCCCCAATGGCCTTCCTAAGACTAAGAACCCAACCCATCCGTCGAATACCCCCATTATTTAGAACATATACATCCCATCACTATCTCCCCAGAGACATCCCCATCGAAGAAGAAACCCTCCCCCACTACAATCCCAAGCAATACTACCCCGTCAACATAGGCGACATCTACCACTCCCGATACCAAATCATAGGGAAACTCGGATACGGAAGTACTTCTACGAGCTGGGTATGTCGGGATCTTCGGTGTGCACTACCCTTTATCTTATACTCAGTAGATAAGACCTCTCTGACAAGCTCTATATGACCAACCATATTCCATGATCAAGATCCAACAACAATAATGATAAAGAACACAACGAATACAAAGTCCTTAAAATCTCCACTTCAATACCAACAAAGGACTCCCATAACCGCGAGTACAGAGTGTATGAACACCTCGCCAACGTAGTAGTTGAAAAGGGATGTTTACATCCGGGTCAATCGTTGATTCGCGAGGTGTATGATTCTTTTGAATTGCAGAATACACCACCACTACCAGGAGTAGAAGAAGAAGGAGAAGGAGGAGGAGGAGGAGGAGGAGGAGGAGAAGGAGGAGAAGGATGAAAAGGGAGTATACACCAATGTCTCCTCCTCCAACCCATGACCATGTCCCTTCACGATATGCTCCAACTAAACCCTAGTAAACCGTTCGATCTCCCGCTGCTGAAAATGACTATTAAGCGGATCCTCCTCGCGTTGGACTTTTTGCATGTGGAGGCCGGGGTGGTTCATACTGGTATTGTCACCTTTCTCTTTATCCCCATACACTATCTACTATATATATAAAACTAGTAGTTATTAACTGGTATATAGATATAAAACCAGATAACATCCTCCTCACCCTCCACGACCCCACCCTCCTCCCCTCCTTCGCAGCCGCGGAATCTACATACCCTAGCCCTAGAAAGGTAGTAGTAGTATCATCATCATCTCTAGTAGGATCTGATCCCCCACGAATCATCTACCAGAGCCGACAACTCCCCCCTCCGAAAGGAGGTAAGAACTACGGCCTCCCCACGCTCTGCGACTTCAGCGAAGCGCGCATCGGCACTGTCCAGAGGGATACGGGACCCTTCATCCAACCGAGTATTTATCGTGCACCGGAGGTCATCTTTGAGATGGATTGGGGGTGTAGTATTGATGTTTGGGGGGGTGGCGGGTGTTGTATGTTCCATCCCTTTCTTTCCTTTCATTAGTTGTTAATTGTTATTAATACATTATGACTAGATATGGTCCCTCTTCGAAGGCGCCCACCTCTTCGGAGAAGATAGTATATTCGACCCCGTGACAGGCCACCACGATCCATTCCGCCATTTAGCGCGCATGGTAGCGGTGATTGGATCACCGCCACCGGGGGAGTTTGTCCGGAGGAGTGAGACGACGAAGCAGTGTTTTGATGAGGGGGGTTAGTATACCCCCATTCTCTTTCAATGGTTGTGTTTGGGGTGAAGGAACAATGCTGATGTGGTCGGTATATAGGTACCTGGATTGCCCACGATGAAGCACCCATACCCAGTAATGTATCTCTAGAGTCATTGGAATGGCGTTTGACTGGTACGGAGAAAGAAGTTTTTCTGGGGTTTATGAGGGATATGTTGAAGTGGATGCCGGAGGAGAGGAGTACGGCGGGGGAGTTGTTGGGGCATGAGTTTTTGAGGTGATTCGCTTTTTTCTTCTCTTATTGTATAGTTTTGGATTGGGTGGGGATAGCTTGTATTTATTTCGGGGGGTTTAGGGAGTGGTTCATGATATTTGTTGGTGATTGTATAATACAGCTTAACAGGGTTTGGTTTGGGCTTCAACTAATCTACTCGTATGGGATCCATCGATACTTAGAACTGATGGGTCTGGTGCGTTGATGTTAGTGTCTTTCTGTTGTAAGTTAATTGCTACTGTATCTAGATGGGTCAGATGCGTCTTGTTGGATTGAGGTGACTATAACAAGAGATAAATGCTAATTTGGCCAGATTCTGATATAATTGATTTCTTCTAGGAACCAGCTCAATAATCTGGCCAAGTCCATGTATTATATATGCATTATGCGCCTTGGCATCCCTCCCAACCAATGCTCAATCTTCATGCAGGAATAAAATAATAAAATGCAGATTCAAACATTCTTATGCTGTACGTATAGTATAGTATATGATCGCAGATAAATGCCAACGAATTATATCTGAAAACACAACCAACCCATTGAATAACAAATAAATCAAACGCCAGGTTTCATGCTTTCCCAAACCAATATGTAGAATGTAGTAGAGTAACAGTTGTGCCTCACATACAAGATCTGTAATGCAAATATGATGGTGTAATTATCACAGCCATGTGAAGCTGCGTTCAAACAAGGAGAAGAGGAGAAAAGAAGAATGTAAAATGTGCAGAAGCTAAGCCACCTGGCTGGCAGTTCGGCGACTCACTTTCGAGGCAGCCTTGGACGGAGCGACACTGCCGCCACCACCACTACCACCAGCCTTCATGGTCCGCTGGGACGCTCTGGAGACATTGGTAGAGACTTGGCTGACACTGTCGCTGGGCTTGACGGGCTCGTCGAACTTGGAGTGCTTGGACACCTTGGAAGGGCTCTTAGAAGCATGCGACCGGTGCGAGTAGGAGGACCGCCGGGAGTCGTCCACTTGGCTAATCGAGTCGTCAGGGGTGACGTGGCTCTGGACATCAAGGTCGACGACACTCTCGGGAAGAGGAACCTCACGAGCGGAGACGCCCGATTTGGCACCGCTGCGGTAGGAGGCGAAGGAGGCAATGGAACCCTCAGGGAGAGGAACCTGGCGGGCAGTGCGGTTGGAAGAGGCGGTGCTGCCGGCTTGCGATCGGCTCACGGAGTGGTAGGAATGGTGCGAGGAGTGATGAGAGCTGTGGTGGGACTCTTGGTAGTTGGCCTTGGAGGGAGGCCGAACCGTGGCAGATGAGTAGACGCTGCCACCATCCATCGCCCGCGACTTGTCTTCACGGAAGCTGCTGACCAGGGTGCTCTGGTAGCCTCGGGAATCGGCCGGCGGGGCGTACTCGATCGCCCGCAGGGGAATATCCTTGGTGGTGTACACGCTGCCCTCGGAGGCGCGACGGCCATTCTCATCGAGGTAGACGCTGCCGCCGCGCGGGACAAACTCAGTGCCCTCGTAAATGGTGTCTGCGCGAGGGTTCTTCGAGGTAACACTGCGGGTGAGGCCCGGGCGGGCATCCGACCGAGAAGAATAAACGCTCCGCGGGGGAGGAGCCTCGATGGCCTTGTAGCCAGGGTATTCTTCCTGGGCCTGAGAGGGTGCTTGGGACGGGGAGAGCATCTGGACAATGTCCCGGGGAGAATACTGCGGGGGAGGGGTACTGCCCTCGGAATGTTGTTCTGTGGAGTCGGACTTGGTCATGGCATATGCGAGAGCAGCGCCAGCAGCAGCGCCAATCAGGGTACCGACAATGGTCTTGGCCGTCTTACCATCGTCAGTCTTCTGCTGAGTGGTGGTGTGAGTCGTGTGGTGCACAATATACGTGGGCGACGGGGCCGGCTGCATCTCGCGAGGCTGCTGGGATTCACGGCTAACGCTGATGGTGGACGGCGCGCGCTCGTACGGGGGAGGCGCTCTGTCCACGGCCGTCGAGGACCTGGAAACGTACGAGCGAGCTTCAGACTTGGGAGGCGCAACGCTTTCGGGACGGACGGAGCTGGCCTTGCTGCTCGCCTTCGATACAACCGAGCCGTTCTCGAGCAAAGCCAGGGCTGGCCTAGTGAGCTCAGACCTGGCTTCAGATCTGGCTTCCGACTTGGCCACAGACTTGGCCACGGACCGGACCTCTGAGCGGGCTGATGAGATGCTGGGGCGGTATACTGCCTCAATGCTGTTGCCATCAAAGTCGATGACGGCGGCGCTGTAGTAACCAGAGTCGGAGTCGCGTTGCTTAGGCTCGCCATGGATCTTGCCTCCTGCCTTGAGGGCATTGATAAAGAAGGTGCTCACAGCATCCTTGGATGCTGCAGGAAAGGCGACATGAGCGGCACCTGCAGGTACACTGCAAGGTCACAGTTAGTTCTCGTAACGCGAATCAAAGTACAATGACGGAAGACTTACCCTGGTTTTTGTTCCGTGATCCAGAAATCTGCAGGCTCGCCGGTCTTTTGACCGAAACCAATGTAATCATCGTGACGTCCAATGAATTGGTACCCCAGAGGTTGTAGGCAGGAAAGAAAGAAAGATGTGGACGTAGGCAGGTGAGCAACCGTCAGGGTGAGGTGAGAGACGGGCATGTCTGTATGGACTCGCTGGGTATGTCCCTTTGCGAGTCGTGGTATAAAGAGGTGAAGTCAGGGGAAGAAAAATGAGGTATGGAGGGGGAGCAGCGAGACGAGATAAATAGTAGATCTCAGATGGAGAGAGATCCACCAACAGGAGAGATCAAAAAGTCGATTGCAGACTCAGAAGCGAGTAAGAGAACAGGAGGATATATATACACAAAGACTGGAGAGGTAGATAGGAGAGACCCATGAAATCATGAGAGAGGAATGGGGAGAAGTCGACGAGAAGCAGCACTAGTATTTCAAGGCAAGATGCAGGCCAACCTTAGGACTTCAGGAGTATGCCCCCGAAATGCCCAACTTGGGATCCAATCACGAGCGGTCAGAAGCTTACAGGGGGGAGCAAATTATCATGGAAACTCGACCAGTTGTTCCAACCGTGGAGCACGACTAGACTAGGCCGGTTATCGCAGGCAGGCTTGCATAGACTCGCACGGCATCCGAACGATGCCCAGTATAATCCACGAGGCATCAACATCGTCTAGGCTCAGTCTGCAGGGAGTTGCCAAAGGGGATAGGCTCGGAGGGTGCTATCGCAAGGCCGCCACCCACTCTGACACATACTCAGACGACCCATGATGTTATTTTTTCGGTGAAGCTAATATCGAGGGGTACGAAAACTCAAGATGGCCGCCAGGTCATCGTGGGGAAAGACTGGCGGACGGTGCTGTAGGTGGCCCTGTCGCGGCGGACGGGGCGCCTATCAGAAAACGGTGGGGACTACGCAGGAGCCAAGGGTAGACAGCAGCATCTTGTCTAAAAGGGAACTCGAGTGAGGCGAGAGGGTCCAGGACAAGGTGGATGAAGGGGATTGGCAGTGGTGGAGACGGCAGCTACCAAACGAAAAACAGACGCTGAAACCGCGACAGGTGCGTAGACCGGCGTCAAAGAAGGGATTGGGGGGAAATTCCCTTGACTTTCTTGAAGACCTAACCTAAATCATTGATTGTAACGACGGGCTCACTCGGCTAGGGACCAGGATTGGACATCAGACAAACGCCTTGGGGAGGTCGCCAATCACGAGGGAACAACGAATCGCATACGGGCATGTCAGCAAGCAGCCGTGTTGAGGAAGAATAGTAGGGAGAGAAGGAGGGGAGCCACTGAGGGGCAAATCTGCTTGACCGATGGGGAGTTTTGGTTCCTGCTTCGGGCACATTTGCTGCTGTTAGTCGCCGGCCGGTGCGATCTGACCGCCAGATGTTCCTCCAGTCCGGCGACGCTGCGGCGTGGATCATTCCCCCCGGGCACGACGAGAAGAGAGGTATATTCCGTATAGGAGCATCTAGAATCAAGATTCTTTCCGGAAAATGACGAAGAAAAGGAGGTGAAAATCACCATCATTCTGTCATCATGGAGTTAGTTGGTGGTATACGGTGATATCCGTTTCTCGCCGGAAGTGGATGGGATGGCTCATCAGCCAACAGCATCATCGGTGTTTGTAGCGTCGTCAAATGACTAGATGGATGATTGAGATGGTCCATTGGTTTCATGTACGGAGTTATCCATTCGAACCCAGTGGGCGATCCACTTGCTGCGATGGCTGCATGCCACGTCGAACAGGAGACTCCGTCCCCAGCCACCGGGACCACCCGATTGACCTGCCCATCAATACTGTTGCTAAAGCTACTTTGGGAGCGAACAGAGACTCCCCTGACAAATTCCAAGAGCTCGAAGGTGTGAGTCAGCGATAGTCAAGATTCCCGTCTCTCACCCGAGAAGGAAGAGAGAAGGAAGACAAGGGAGAGAAGGATGAGAAGTATGCAGTATAGACAGAGAAAGAGAGAAAAGGGAAAGTGAGTCAAAAAGTCGGGGAGAGACACTGGCGGGGCCGGCCTCAGGCACAAACCCACTCTTCCCCTCCTCATCATGTGCAGCCCCTCTTCCCCCTTCTGTTCGCTGGTTTTCCCACTTGTTCTGCTTCTTTCCTGCTTCTACGGTCACTCTCGTGCCTCCAAATGATTCCGATCATCCTCATGGTCCGACCGGTTCAAGTCATCCGGCCAATTGGCTAATTGGCACCATCACACAGTGAACGTCACCGGCGCAAGGGCCACCAACTTCCATCTGAAGTTCCGGGTCTCCAGGGAGCCCCTCCCTGTGGCTACGGACATCTACGGCTGGGTCTACTACTGACAGGTATTCTACTAGATGCTAGTGATCCAATCAGAGGACCATTTAGGATCATCAAAGTCTGTAAGGGAAGACAAAGGGGGGGAGGAAGTAGGATCGAGTATCTGGGCAGGGGCTGAACGGCGGGTGTCAGACCTCCGTGTCCATGGTTGTGCCTCGATGGTAAATGTATCTGGTGTATTCGTGCTGCTATATAGATAAAATCTCGCATGCGAGACTGCAACAGTGTACAACACCCGGATGGGGCGTTGCAGATTACAGTGATTAGATCACACCCACCTAAGATATTTGGAAGAAGAAAACCCAGATCCTCGTCGAGGCATTCGAACCTGCAGAACTCAAAACAGAGGGATCTATCAGAAGAAACTGGGGGCCGGTGGGTCGTGCCGTGATACCTACCCACCGGCGCAGGCCCGCCGAAGCAAAGAGGGCCTGCCAGTTCATCACGGGGGTCCAAATAAATGAGGCGATCTTAGTTTCCAGATATCGCATCCAGCAGTCTAGCGGCGACCGCGACGCGAGGCGCGAGAAAACAGACACGAAAACCCATCAAGACGTGCAGAGAACAGCAAGCGATGCAAATACACCCAAGGCAGAGAGAATACGCGAACAACGCGCGGAAGACAGGTTCGTCCCCGAGCTAGGACCCGCTGACCGTTTCTCGATCGTACCGTTTCAGATGTATGGGCGCAAGGAAATTCGTCACCTCGTCAAGCTTTGGCCATTCCTGAGAAGCGGGATAGGAGCGTCCGAGGTCCTGCGCTCAGACAATGTCCCACACCTCCTCGGCGGCATGGCAGAACTTGCTGCATGCGACACTGGCACTCAAGCTGTAGTTACTGATGGAAATCGTGTCGTCCTTGAAGGAGTCGGCAAAGTCATCGTGTCCCTTGGCCATGGCACCCACGAAGATACAGACGCTCTCCTTGGGGCCCAGCGATTCGATGTAGTCGCGAGTGCGCACCACGGGGGCTTCGAAACTGAGGGTCACCTTGCGGCAGTTGGGGGGGAGGTGGTCGGTGATAGGGTTCTTGATGACCTTCAGAAGCTTCTCCTGGGAGTTGGTGGAACGGATGGAAAGGCGGTGCAGCAGCTGCACCATCAAACCAGCGAATCGCTTGAAGGTACGAGGAATGCGCACGCTAGGGTTCACCTCGATCAAGACACCCTTGGCAGTGTGGATGAAGATCTGCAGCTTACCCGCCTTGTTCACGGGGGAGTCGAGCAGGGTAAGCAGGCACTAACGAGCATTTATCATCAGCAACAAGCCACCAAACCATTGCTGGCTATCTCAGACAGAGCAACTAACCTGATGTGTGATATCCGGACGAGCCTCACTGATATCCCGGTTCATCTTACGCATGACACCAATGTGCTCATCGCTGTTGAGCAGGGAGTACTTCTCATCACGACCGGAACCATTGCGTCCGCTGGAAGCCCGGTAGGTTTCCAAGCTGGCATGGGAGAGAACGACAATCAGACGCTGGGTCTCCTTGTCATGAGCAGGGATGGGGGTGTGCTGTTCCGCAACGAGCTGGGGCAATTCGGGAGGCGGGCAGGATTGCGTCCCTGCAGGTTTAGTCGAGTCAGCAACCATTTTTGATGGTGATAGCAAAAAGGATAAATCCACGCGGTCGGTTGAAGATTGTGAAGCTGGACTGAGATGAAGCTGGACACTGGGTGATGCGACAGACAGGGCGTATCACAGAGACAGAATAGGGAAAAAACGGTGATTGTAAAAGTGACAAACAACGTAGAATGGATAGCGATGCAGGGAATTAACCCATCAGATGATGGATGATGAATTTGCGAAAGACAAAGAAAGACAGCCGTGAAGAAAAAGTAAGAGAGAAAAAAAAGGAATGTTGATCTCCCGCGTTGGCGATAAGAAAAATCAAGCGGGGAATAGCACGAGGTTGTCACCGGCTGTACATGAGATGACAGCAAGGCTGAGGAGTTTGGGGGAGAAAAGCAGGGAAACGCAGGGAAACGCAGGGAAACGCAGCGAGCGATTGAAGAGCGAACCGCGGGTTTTAATTGCAATTGGGGGGGGGGAACGTACTGGCACGCTTTCTCTTCCCGGCAACCTGGATAGGATCCGACATGATGCGAATTGATTGATGGGTGATGGTGCAAGATTATAGAGGAATCCCGAAGCAGAGCTTTTCTCAATTCTTGGAATTATACCTGCAACTATATTCCTCTCTGGGAATGTTGCTGGTTGAGTATTAATGGGGAATTGAGACCGCAACGGAGGTTTGGGGAAGTGGAAAAAAGTAAAGCGAGGAAAAGTACGAGAGGAAAAAAAAGATGGGAAAACGAAGGCGGCGATGAAGAAGGAGACTAGGCTCAACGGGAGTTTATAATAAAAGGATGGTGTGAGCAGCAAAGCAATAGCTTTTCAATTTTCCTTTTTTTCGTTTTTCTTTTTTGAATTTCTTTTCTGCCCCCTTCCTTCTTATTCTCTCTGACAGTGTCTCTCACGTTATCGCAATGCAGATTCCCCTCACTTGAAGGGCAGAAGAATGGGCGAAAAATCAAGACCAGAAAAAAAGTCCCCGAGAGCGACAGAAGACAGCAGTAACAGCAGCAGTAGCAGCAGCAGCGCCGGGGTAATCCATTGGCGGCAGTTTGGGGGCTGGCCGCCCGGCGGAGTTTCGGGATGGAAAAACAATGCAGAAATCTCGTCTTGGTTCCAAACTCTCTTTGCTAGTGTCATTTCCCGGTTCCATACATTTCGGTCCAGCCATCCAGCAACCCCAGGACAGCTGCTACCTATGATACTGATTGATATAGTATATGCCTGTAAACAACTCTATGTAGGTATTAACTTACCGGGGTAGTAGCAGTAAGAGGTAGAAACACAGTCCCAATGGATGAACAAGTTGCAGGATGTGCCCGCCGGGTCATCCATGCATTTGATCGATTCCTTCCTTCTCATGGGCTAAAGTCTCAACTAGGACATGGCTTGGTCCAATGACCTGATGTTATCGTGTAATCTCCGATCAGCAATGCATTGGACCGGTGCATTCCTCTCCCTGCCATCATTGGTCTGCTTTGCTTTTCTTCACGCCAAATTCGCATCCGTCAGCCTCGTTAGCTTCCTTCACTCGGGGTTTGAGTGTGTGATTAGATGAAGAGTGAGTGAGTTAGTGACTTGGGAATAGTAAGTAGTCACCTGCTAACCACCATGGCCTCTCTTCTCGTACTCGGATTAAATAGACGGATCACTGGCTCGGTTCCTGATCTCAAAACCCGTTAACGAATTAGTTACTTCTTCAGGAAGTGTCACTAGCTAGCTAACTAATTAACTAGTTGATTGTCTTACTCCGTGTCTTACTCAGATGTAAGACTCGCTAACTTAACATTATGGCTCGCAACGCCCTTCCTCCTTTCCCCGTCACCTCCTGAGCTCTTCATCAAGCATCTATCGGATTAACCCCCCCCCACCATGGCAGTATCTCCGGATTCCTGGCCCATGCCCACCTTTGCAGAAGATACCCTCGTACACAGTACCCTGAAGTGTAACCCTCCCGGTTACACAGAGGCGTGACTGCCGGGCCACTGTGTGCTCCAAGTAGCCTCTAGAACAGACATCATTGTTCTACCGATAACAGCTTGTCGCGTCGGTATCTGGCCAATTTGTAACAGTACAGTCGTTTGATGGGAAGCCGGTTGTGGTGCCCTGCCTCGGATCTGTCCATCTACATCCGACTTGACTTCATCTCCCTGATTGGGATGCGCAGCAGCTGCAGTTGTACTATCTATCTATCTAGTCATTGAGATGGATGGAGGAATGTAACTCTCTCTGTACAGGTTCAACCGAAGGGAAGCAATCAGAGACGTCGGATCTACCATCCACTGGAAAACCCCTCACAGGACGGGAGGCGAAAGGTGACAAGTCTTGCCTTGGATGAGGGACAGTGAGGAGATAGAGAAAAAGCAAATAAGCTACCTAGATGGATGATCCGCGTTCTCATGATCGGTCCTCACGATCGGCATCTTCGATCCGGCTGTCAGTGATTTGCTTTGACTTGGAGTGACTTGCTTTGGATTGTTGGCTATTTGGCCAGTCTAGGCTGCGATGACATAAAGACACATCATGTAAGGACCTAAAAAAGACAACCCACCCCCCATGTGGTGTGACAGCTGGCCTGGAGCAGCCCAAGAATGGATCACATAGCCATTTTCAGACACGGAAAGAGACAAAAGGGCGATAGCAGAGGAGAGGGGGAGGGATAGAGAGAGGCCACCGATGTGTTGAGTAGATCGAGATCAGCCGGGAGCCCTGTGTAGCCATCACATCCAATCCTGGAACAAAGCTGAGGACCCGAGCTGCAAGTCAAATGCCGGCAAGGCAGTGCCAGAACATGGCTGTGGCCCAGTAAGGCATCAGTGTTGGTTCGTTTGTTCAGCAAGGGCGAGGTTGGGGGAGCGATAAGACCAGACAGAAAAAGAGAGAGAGAAAGAGAAAGAAAAAGACTGAGAATAATGGCGCTTGTTTCCAGTCGATCTGGTGGAATTTGCCTCACACCATTAGTAGTGCTGTTAACGATGGATGCATTGTTGTGTGTACGGAGTACGGAGACTCACTACTCATCAATTACTACTAGTATACTATGTGGAGTGGGAGAAGAGACGAACATGGAGATGCACGAATGGGAAAATGGGATGGATCAAATTTAGTTTTATTTAATTGTCCATCATCACCAGGAGAGGGAAGATGAAGTGACGAGGCTGGCCACCTCAGCTGCCACCGACTTGTTCATACATACGGAAGAGTCCACTACTCAGGAGTGGTGTTGCACCAAAGAGTCTGGTTGGTTGGGGGCTCATGATATAAGGAGGCGAAGTACGGCACGGCAGAGTGAATGAGTCGATGGCACAGCATCGATCTGGGAACTTTTACTCATAAAATAGTAGTAAGCTCATTCTCTCGTTCGTCCAGTAACAGCTGGGGTGTTTGTGATTTGAACCTTTCATCTGCTTCAAATTTCTTTGGCTGCCAGTGAGTAGTGGATGTTCCACACGTATCACCTTGTTCAAGTACTTTTCACTAGTATTCGGAGGTAGTTGGTGGTTCTGAATGAATGAACATTCATTCATGACTCTGTTGTTGCATCCTGCGGACACGACGCCACCGTGGGTTATTTTCATCATCGTTAGATATATAGCTGGGATGTGGGGGGAAGCAGCATCATCATCATCATCAGCTTAGAGCTTGCTGATACATGGGAATAACAAATTATTATAAAAAGGGAATATATATCAGCTGCTGCCTCTGCTGATTCACAGTCGTCTCCGTGTCATCATCATTCATCAGCTGGTTAGTAACTAACTATATAAAGAGTAAGAAAGAGAAAAAGCCTCTTAGGAAACGAAAAGGCAGCAATATGACTGAATGTGGTTTAGACCAGTGATTCTCACGCGTTTCCCGTCGATCGGCGACCGCCAAATCCGCCCTTCCCAATCCATAATAATTTCCTGGCATTCCGTCAGGCAGCTCATTCCACTGCATCATCGATCGGCTCTCCCTGCTTCTCTCGATTTCTTCTTCCTCCTACTTTCTCCTTCCTACCTCCTTCTCTTCCATCTAGAATTACGACCTCTGCCATAAATGTTTTACCTCGCTTGAATGCCTCTGGTACATCAGAAAGGGAGATGCCGTGGACTGTGACAAACTCATTCAAGCGGTACGTTGTGGAATCATGCCCCTGCTCCTTAATTCCCTTATCCCTTGGTTGCCGCCACTCCCAACTAACACGCTCCCCTCTTGATTCCCCCCACGCAGAGGTCTCATGATGAAAACTTACGGACGGCCACTATGGCGCGTCTACGACGATGACCAACGGCCTGCCGCCAAAAAACGACGCGTTCAATCCGGCAATGATTCCGACGAAGCCGAAAATAGCATCCAATATGCCATCCGCGAGTCTTCCGCCGCCATCATGTCCAGTCCGTCGCGTCGCAATTCTATTCTGCTCTCCGAAGGCACGCAGGAAGATGATCTCTCGACACCCCCATCTTCTCCCCCACCGCGATTAAGCCCCCCTCCCGCCAACACGCGGAAACCCACGTTCGCCTTCCTGAAGCGTAAACAGTCCGCCACCAAGGATGCCAGTAATGGCACCCCCGTTACGAATGGCACCACCACCACCACTAACGGCACTACCAATGGTACCCCACTCACCGAAGTCAACTCTAACAGCGTGCGCGCCTCGGTGGATCCGCCCAAGAAGAAAGCGCCGCAGCCGCAGCAGCCGCCGGTCTTGAAGCAGATGCAGATCGACCTGGGCCACGAAGTACGGAGGACGTGTGCAACTTGTGGCATGGAGTACGTGCCGTCGAACACGGAGGATGCGGCATTGCATAAGAAGTTTCACGATATGAACTCCACAGGGGTAGATCTGGGGAAGGCCTTTATGCGGGCCAACGCATCACGCTGGGTCTACGAAGCTACACGGTTTGACGAGGGATATGTGGTCATTGTGGATCGCAAGGCATCGCCGACCGCGAAGAACCAAGCGAAGAAGGTGCTGGAGGTCATTTGCAAGGAGCTGTCATCCCCGACGATCGATGACGAGGTTCTGTGGAGTCAAACGGAAGCGCCCAAGCATCTGCAACAGAACGGAGTACCGGAGAAAGTGGACCGGTACAAGGTGTTTCTGCACATGAAGGACAGTCGATGTGTAGGGGCATGCTTGACGGAGCGGATTTGGGAGTCACGGCCGGTCAAGAAGTCGGCCGTTTCGGGCAATGGACCGGACTCGTCGGTCACAGTGGGAGAGGAAAGGCACCCGGCCATCGTGGGCATCTCGCGCATATGGACATCGGGCTCTTCACGCCGGAAAGGCATTGCCATGGACCTGTTAGACTGCGTGGTGAGCAACTTCATCTACGGGATGGAAATCCCCAAGGAGCAGGTGGCGTTCAGCCAACCGACCGAGAGTGGCAAGGGGCTGGCGCAGTCATTCTTCGGCAACGAAGAGTGGCATGTTTACGAGGAAAGCTAAGACGACGACAATAGACTACGGAAAGAAACAAGAGATTGCATTTGATTTCTTTTTGCATGGTTAGGATTGAAGAGGAGGGGGAAGACCGACGGGCGGACATTGTTTTCGTGATACACGGGCGAGTTGATACCCAGGCTTTCTCGGGCATTGACCTTCGAGGGAGGGCTTACTCTTGTGACGACCATTTGTGATTGCACGCGTTCATTCGATATTTTCCTTTTTTTTTTTTTTATCTTTCTCATTTCTTTAACTGACTGTATAACTGGAAGAGGTGTTTATTGGGAGGGTCCGTCGGGTTCCGCGTGGCTTGGTATATTCTTCGACTACCGATCTACCATTCTTCACTGTACCATATATATCCTTATTTCTTCTTTTCTTTTTCTTCATTTCTTACCCCCGATATTATTATCTCTTTTATCATTGATCTATCCATGTTCTCTTTTGTTTTCATTATGTGAGTGTGAGAGTGACCGTGAATATGAGGAGTGAAGAGAGGGCAAATACGACCCAGGCAGAATGCAGCATGTGAGAACTACCATTTACCGACATATACAAGTATACTATGTATGCACATCTAGTAGTTCATAGTAGTTTATGAACCTTGTAGTGGAAGCCGCGGAACCTTGAAAGCAAAAGCCAAGGGGAACTAAACTAGGACTAAGCAGTAGTAACTAATTAATCAACTAACTAAATACTAAAATCCAAAAGTAAGGTTGTGGCCGAGAGTCTCTCTGTCCCTCTTTCTCCAGTTGTTGACTTGCTTGTCTTCCGCTACTTACCCTCTCCGTCTCTCTCTCTCTCCCTCTTCCCTTCCTTCCTTCTCCTTCTCTTCCATCAATCCCTCCCCTCCTTTTTCCTTGCTCTCATGGTCAGTGCTGCCCTTCTCCTCCGCGATGTCTGGATTAAATCCTTTCCGCCCTAAGAAGCCCGAGAGTGAGTCCGTCCGGCGGTTCCGGTTCCTGCGCACCGTTCGTCGCGTGCTGGTCGGACGAGATGGACGGAGCTGTCCCTGACCCATGATGCTGACCTCCCCCATCCTAGATACTACCCTCACTGCTCCTGCTCCGGCGCCTTCTCTACCTCAGTCTCAGCCTCAGCCCTCCTTCACCTCGTACCCCTCGAAACCCGCTCCCTCTGTGACCTTCCCTTCCACCTCGTTCCGCTCTGTCCCTCGAACCCCTCCCGCATCCTTGACCCCGGATCCCGACGATACGGCGTCCTCCGATGACCAGTCTACTTCGGACCCCTTCCACCAGCAGTCGTATGCGACCGATGACGATGGAGAGGCGGAGGAAGAGGAGGACATCGATGAATTAGATTCCAAACGCACCTACCAGGTCGCTCACCTACCTTCCCGGGACGATGATCGCTCCCTGCCATCGATCAGGACCGTTCCAGACCCAGCCTTATCCTCCAGGAGATCCGCGCCGCCCGCAGCCATTACGCTCCCAGCGCAGAGGAGCACCCATGATCGTCAAGTAGACCTGGAACAGGCTGGCACGCCTCGCGAGAATGCGCCCGTAGCTGCTTCGAATGTGTCGACGCGTTCATCCACGTCTTACGGAGGTACCCGGACGCCCGACAGCAGCTCCACGGATGTATCTCGACCGTCCGACCTGCGGACCGGTCCAGCTACTCGAGCTGGGTCAGGCTTGACCCCATCATTAGATCTCAATTCGCGTCCTCTTGCCAGCCGTCCAGGTAACAGAGACCGGATACCTCCGCCTCCGCCCAAGAGTCATCATGGGAAACGGATCACCCCAAGCCCTGGCATCACACCCTCGCTCGCCCAAACTACCCCTGGCAAGACGACCAACCGCTTCTCTTTCCATGGCTCCCCATCTGAGCCATCATACTCCCCCCGCCCCTCCCAATCAGGGTCCGACTATTTCTCCGCAAAGCCCAAAGACGAGCCACGGTCGACTGAGCAGTCGGCGGAGTCCCTTCGGCGGAGTCAATCGCAGCATAAGCGACCGCCAACTCCACCGCTAAGCCGACGACACAGCCAGATGAGACGGTCCAAGACCACAATGTCCAAAGTCAACCCATTACGGTTATCCATGCATGTGACACAGGACTCAAGCGCGGCATCATCGTCATCATCTCCGCCGCCCAGTCCAGGCGGCTGGTCCCTGAACCCATCACGAACTCGGGAATCTCGCGCGGGCAGTAATCCGTCCGAGGAGCCCATGCACACTGCGACCTCAACCCTGCGCCCGGATCCCTCTGCAGCCGCACCAGTGTCGCCCACAGAAATGTCACATGCGACGTCAACAGGATCGTCGACGAAGCGGACTTCGCTTTACAATCCTCTTCCCCCACCTCCGCCGCCGCGACGCTCTCGCGGATCCAGCAACCACAGCATTGACAGCACTGGTCAGGGTCTCCGATCGGGCCGACCAGCCGACGAGACAATAGTGGCACCAACAGCGCCAGTAACACAGGACGAATTCGTCCCCCATCCATCGAACGCGCATGACATTCTGGCCGATTTGACCCGGTTACAGAAAGAAGTAGACGATCTGCGCGGGCATTACGAGAGCCGAAAGGCCAGCCAATAGGCCCAGCTTAGTATGGGGCTTTGGCTTTGTTCCTATCCTTATCTCACTTCTGTTCTGCAGCAAGAGCAAATGAGCCCCAAGTTAGGCATAGGCATCGTAGGGAGTGAGAGTGACTGACAGAGTGTACATGGGCACGTGAACGTGAACGAGCGATGAAGCATAGCGTTTGGTTTCTTGGTATTCCTTCCTTTCTTGAGTATAGTATATGGTTGGGTCAGTGAGGTATGCAGATTATGCATGTGTTGTACTATTCCTAAATCATTCTCGAGAGACTTTGGTCAACTCCTTTTGGACCGGATTGAATCCGTGTGATGGCCATAGCCGCCAGACAAGAAGTTTGACTGCAGACTTGCACGGAGAGTCCAAAGTTAGCACGTACTACTACTATCCAGTTGTTCATGAAAGGTATGCATGTACTGAATATGGTTAATCAATAAGTCAATCACTTAGTTGGTGGAGTCCAATGACCCATGATTAATATTACTAGTAGTCGATACAGATTTCTAGTTCTCATGTACTACATACACTTATAGTCACACAACTAGGTGGTCACTTATACTTTATATGAGAAGTTAATAGTCACAAGGACTACTAGTGCTACTTTCTGTACTACCTCAATACTATTAGTATGATACCCTTGAATTCCTTCTCTCTAGAGAGAGCTAGAGAGAGCTAGAGAGAGAGAGAGGAATCGAGCATGCTATCTCTTCACAGGAGGAACGGGTTACTTCATCACTTTATTTCTTTTATTTCTTTTTTTCTCATTTCTTACCACGATAATTCACCAATAACGATATCAATAACCGCAAAACCCTCTAGGACATGAACGAAAAGAACAAGAAAAGGAGGTGTATAAGATATCATCCCAAATACAACTCCAACGGCAAATCATGATACATCTGATAATCCAACTCCACACTCCATTCCAGAACAAAGAACTTGACTAGCGCCACAACAGCCATGGAACTTAGCTCTCCCCTCTCCCCACCTACTTCTTCCTCCGGCTGGTGAGGAACCCTCCAGAACATGGTCTCATCGAATGATACTATACTATCTAACCCATCACCACTTTTTATCCGACCCTCATACCACACTGCCGCTATATCCGTGACGATGCGCACCGCGTCCCCGGAATTGCCGCTCCCGGCTAACACGGCACCCGCGGCTAGGTCGGCCATGCTGCCGTTGTGGACGAACTGGGGGTCCCAGCCGCGGGCGATGAGATGCTCTGCGTGTGTGGAGACGGTGGTGCGGAGGGTATGGGCGAGTTGGGCGCGGTAGTGGTTCATGCGAGGTTTGGCGAAGGCGAGGAGGATGTCGCGGAGGCCGCGGTGGATGGACCATGAGAGGGAGGACCATGGGAGGTAGTCGAGGCAGGTGTTGAGGATGGTGGCTTCGTGGGGTGGGATGTGTAGGGTTACGGAGTGGGTGGTGATGGTAGTGGATTGGTGGCGGGGGTTGGATTCGGTACTGGGGAGGGAGAGAGTGGTGGAACTGGATTCTAGCTCTGGTATGTCGTAGTCATTATTGTCCTCGGTGACGGGCTTCATCAATAGAAGATCGACTTCATTGACGTTGCCTCCAATCATGTTGTAGAGGTGTCTGCTGCCGTGGGCGCCGCCAAAGCCTCGCACGATGTGTTCGAGAATCCATCTGCCTGATGCTTTGCGGCCGGGGAAGGCGCATTTGAATGGTGCAGAGGACGCGGGGCTTTCGATGACACCGGCTAGCATGCGCAGACAACGGTCGACGCGGACTTCAAAGGTCGGGGGGTAGACGTCTTTGTTCAGAGTGTGCGAATCGTGTGCCGCGAAGTGGACGTGTGCGGCGTCGCCAATGGGCCATTCGACGTACCATTGTCCGCAGTAGGAGGCGTATGCGGCTTGATGGCCAGATGCGCCGCTGTGTCGAAACACTGGTCGAGCATTGGTTACGGTGAATAGAGCCATGAGAGTTGCGCGAGAGATGACCGTGCAAGCGGTTAGCTTGTGCTTGGTGAGAGGGCCTCGAGGGAGGCTATCCCAGGTTGGCAGCTGGACTGGCGGTTCTCCCGAGATGGTCACGACGTGCTCAGTCTTGACGGGGCTTTTGGTAGAGACTAACGAGCCGGTCTGGGAGGGCTGTCCCAGGGTGGTAGAAGGTGGATGAATGACGTTGAGCAGGATAGACCATGCAGCCTTACCTGTTGGCTGCGCGAGTGGCCGCCGACTGACATGAACGGTCTTTCTGCCAGAGTCCACAGGGCAAATTGGCGTTGATCACAGGCCCGACAAGAGGGGGCTTCACGACTCTATACCATGGTACATGTGGCTGCCAGAACCGCCAGCGGCCCAGGTGTTGTACATCTCGCAGGGTGTGGAAGGGGTCAGTCTGATCGATGATCGTCCCGAATTGGGTGACAATGGAGCCCAGCCCTACCACCGTAACGGCGAGAGAGAGCCAGGTAGCCACTGTTGACGAGACATCCATTCGGAGGCTAAACCCAGCGAGCAGCCGAGCGACGATACTCTTGACTGACATCGAAGGCGAGCTCATGATCACTGGAGGGGCCTGGGATAAGTATGTTGAGGGGATGGTGAAAGGTTGCTGCGCTAATGCATCTGAGCGTCTCGGCCGCCAACCATCGACCGCCGTCGTCGCAGGATCCGAGTGGACTCCGGCTGAGAACACCATCGATGTTCATCTCCGCAAATAGAATGCATGCTGGTTGCGCTTGGATTCGCTTCATGAGGATTTCCAGCGCCTTGCATGATCGCAATGACAGAACGAGGCGCTTCAACTCCTCCAGCTATGAGTGCCGCTACGATGCTGCCAAATCCAGTGTGTTGGCAGGCACATAAAGGCCTTGAGTGGCCTCTGAGAATGAATGATGTCGAGTACCAAGATCTATTTGTAATTTCTAGTCCCATGTGAGGTCCCGAGATGGTGCGGTGGCCATCATGCGTTCTACTTTCTCCTAGACTGCTCGTGGAGCCCCATTGTCAGACAAGCTGCAAGAATGGCAGCACATCCCCCAAGTCTCATAACCCAGCTTGTGCTGGTATCCCAAGGCTGTCCCCGTGGCTTCTGCAGTGCCTTGAAGATGAGGCTGCCTATCGCACTGGAGATTATCTGGGGGAAGGAAATAGCGACATTATGTAGACCAAGGACGACACCAGCTTGGTTTACTGATTTTTCTTCCGTCCTTCTTGGTTCGTCAGATTCCTGAACATATGGCAGAATACTTGCTCCTTCTACTTCACCGGATCCCTCTCGACGATGTGCCGGTCGTCCGGGGTCCTCTTGAGCGATCTCAGACGCGATTAGAGCATAGGGTGCCCACGCTGTGACAGCCCAGGCAATGCCGATTACTCCAGTCATCACCGACGCCTGCCCCGGGGAGGAAACAAAGAACGTGCTGAACATACAGATGGCAAATAGGCAATGAGAGAGGAGCCATGCACGGCGTAGTGATAAACCAGGGATCCTTAATTTCAAGCGAAGGCTGCTTGAACTAGTGTTCGCTTCAGCTGCCGTTTGCCTCTCTGAAGGAACCACCAGCATTGGCAGGATGATACTCGCTGCAAAAGACACCAGTGCATTCACAAGCATAGCTAAAGTACCGATGCGTGTAGCATCCTCCCATAACTTGTTGATCTCATCATCCGATAGATCTTGATGCTTTTCGAAGATAGGGTTCACATACAACTGCCCTATGTAAGTGGTAGCGTAGAACAAGAACGAAAACCACCCAAACCATGCTGCAGCCTGAATGATGTAGACTTGGCGAATGCGGAAAGGGAGGCGATGAACTGAGTCTCTAATGGACTGAAGCAATGATACAAACCCGAGACTGGCAGGTGAAGACGGCTCCATACGCGGATCCTTTTCCTTGATATAAGCGCAGCCGATGGATAGAGTGATTGCTAGTGAGACGCTAGCAATTACGCTTATCCCTTTGAATTGTGTATTTCCGAGGAATGGAACAATGTTCGGCAGATTCAAACCGCCAATGATGAAGCCGAAGATGTTCCCTGCGCTGACGTGACGGCTTGCCCATGCATTTGCCGCTTCCTGCTGATGAGCCGGGGCATTATCGACGATGAAAGCCCGGCTGGCTGCTTGAACTGTGACAGGACGTCAGCATTAAATTACAGGAGAGCCAAGATAGTGTGAATATCATACCAGTGTTGATGGCAAAGTCTTGGCAGTACATCAAGAGCGTTGCAGCCACGATGACTGCAGTTTTGGTTTCACCTGCCTGGGCATCAAGGCCAAACAAACCAAATAGGCCACCCACTAATTCTCGCACCCACGCCAGAGCTAGCAGACAGATAGCCAAGAGTACGCCACCGAATACCATGAACGGCTTTCGCTTGCCCCAGGAGATGCGGCAATTGTCACTTCGGATGCCAATGTAAGGCTGCACTAAAGTGCCTGTAAGGGGCCCTGCAATCCAGACAAAGGCAAGCAGTGCTTTGCTCATTCCTAGAGATAGAAGATACGGCTATATGATAAGCGATGTTGAAATTAGCTACTGATACTTGCTTGATTTCTCGAGGTTTACAACTTACTGATCCACTGGAATGCTGGATCGAATAGACAATTTGGAGACTAGGAATCGGGTCAATGAGGACAATAGAGCAAACACAACTGCCATAAAGCACTTACCCTCCCATGGCTAGGGACAGTATGAAGAGGTATGCGCTGCTCTTGGATGCCTCGTCGGGGGAAGCACCTGGCGGTACATGCGAGTCCGGCGGCACCCATCCATCGCGGATGAGAGGTTCCGCCTCGTTGCTGCGCTCCGTCATGAGAGCAGGAGATCGGGCATTTACCAGTCTCTTTGCTAGCAGTAAAAGAGCTTTTCAACTTCAAAGCAGATGAAACTAATAGGAATGATAGCTGAGAGGGTGGAATCGATAAAAGGAGGTTGTTTACTTTCTCCGGGCTCGGGGCGGAGTAAAGTAAAAGTAAAAGTAGAGCCATTAATCTCCCCAGGCATCAAGAGGATTCCATGGACGGGACTGACCGCCTGATCCCGAACAGGCAAAGATCTGTTGCAGATACCATAATTAGTAGTTATTTTACATGCAGTAAATAGTCTGGTTTCATGATTAATATTAGATCGAATAGTGAGTTATTGGAAAATGTGTCTTCTGTTTGTGGAGCATGCTTAATGCATGTTAGTAAGCAAGATGATGCTGTAATTGCTTTTGTCTGGAGAGTACTATGGTATATATCAAACAGGCTGATTTGGATGTGTTTGATAAAAACGGTAAATAGCAACAGCGGAGAGTTATCATATCCATGTAAGACGCTACTTTGACTTTCTCATTTCTCGTTTATCGTTGGTGAAGAACACCTTCAGCCGCGGGCCCACTCTCTCGATAGCAGGGAATATATCTAGATCATATTGTCTATCTACTATGCAGTAATGTTAATATCTAAAGCTTCGAGATTTTTCCATGTCCGATCCCTGACTAATGGTGTCATCCAGATAAGGATGGTGAATATCGCTAAGACGAAGCCGGTTAGGCTTCCGTGATGATGAGAGGTTCCCGATGACCCGAAGTCATCAACCGCGTCCTCAATCCCCACGTCCCTCGCTCCTTCTTCCCCTCTTTTGACTTCTTGCTGTTCAGTGCGTGTCAAAGTCGTCTCCGAGCTGCAAGCGCGAGTATCAATTCGCCATAAGTAACCCCAGGCGGCTGTCCAGCGTGAATCCAGGTGTTGCAAAACTCTCATTCGGCGATTCGGTTCTAAAGCATCTATATTCTTCCGGCCATGGCCCACAATACCGGTGCCCCCCGCATAACTGATGCGACAAAAGGTACTGTCCACAACCACGGCATCGGATGAAGTCTTCGAGAGCACTCATAGCTAACATATCTCAGTATGGACAACTCTCATTACAAACACTGCCTACCTGCCGGGGCTACTGACCCTGGAGTACTCCCTCCGTAAAGTGGGCTCGAAATATCCGCTGATTGCTCTCTACACGGACTCCTTCCCGGCGGAAGGTCATGCTGCTCTTGATGCCCGTGGAATTCTGAAGCAGCGTGTCCCTTATCTGCTGCCCTCAGTTCCCAAGGACTACGTCAATGATGTGCGGTTCTATGACTGCTGGAGCAAACTCACGCCCTTCTCTCTTGTGGAGTATGAGCGCGTTGTGCAGCTGGACAGTGACATGATGATTCTCCGCAACATGGATGAGTTGATGGAGCTCGAGCTAGACCCTCCAGCCCTGGCTGGGACAGGGAATCGTGTATTTGCCGCTAGTCATGCTTGTGTTTGTAACCCGCTGCAGAAGCCGCACTACCCTCCTGATTGGTATGGACTATCCATCTTCCATTCCCGAGTCCTACGAGGACACAACTTATCCGACAAGTAAACAACGACTAATGCACCATTGTCCAGGATTCCATCCAATTGCGCATACACATCCCAGCATGCCACCCCGGATGTCGCGCAAACAGAGGGTGCATCACCCACGGCCGGGCTGGGTATCCCCAACGGCGGTCTCCAGGTGGTCAATCCGTCCCACGAAGTCTATGATAAGATTCTGGCGCAGCTGTCCTCATCTGCGACCACCAACTATGAATTTGCCGATCAATCCCTGCTATCAGATGTGTTCTTTGGGCGATGGGTGGCGCTGCCATACATCTACAATGCGCTCAAAACCATGCGGTGGGAGGGGATTCATGATGCGATCTGGCGCGACGAGAGCGTCAAGAATATGCACTACTTGCTCAACCCCAAACCGTGGGATGAGAGCGAGGCTGTCCGGTCGGGTCGCGAACCTCGCTCAAGCCGGGAAGCGCCACACAGCTGGTGGTGGGACATTACGGAGGAGAGAGTGAAGGAGGAAAAGGCCAGAGGGGTGGATGACAACTTCTAAATTTTTTTTCTTCACCTTATTTTTCTTCTTATGTTTATGTTCCCCTTCTCAAACATGTGAACGCCGCAGCGCTATCACAGTACATTAGACCTGTCACCATACGAAACCAATGCCACAATAATAGAGTCATTCTTCGAGGGGTCCAGATGGAACGGGAATGCAAGTATGGCGTACATTCATTCCAGGTTGGGGTGAGACGGGTGTAGTGGGAGGCTGCATTCGGAACCCGACCATTCAGGCTCCCAGGTGTCGAGCCCCGCGCCCGATGTTGATTGGTCAGTGAAGTGCCAGCGGCGGGGGTGACGTCAGGGGCTGCCGGGGAAGACGCTAAACTAGTTTGGGACCCATGGCATAGAGGGTGAGCCGAGTTCAAGCATTCATCATACTGAGTAGTACTACGGAGTACTGGACTAGTCACAATCACCTCCAGGGGAAAATGCCCCCTCCGAAACCGCGGGGAACTGGCGATGGCTTTCCGAAACATCCACTAGAAGACGCCTGGAATGGACCTGCATTGAGGCTGGGAGATAGTATTCCAAGAAAAGAAAACTAAAAAAAAAAGAAAGAAGGCGAATTTGCTTCAAATTGAAGGTTTGAATGAATGATGCTGGCCCACCGACAGCCTCACTTTCATCACTGACCCGTTCATTCATTCATTTACTTCCCTCCTACTAACTACTACTACTGCCACTACTTCTACTACTACTTACCCTCCTGTTCCTATTTAGTCCACAGTACTACTACTACCACCACCAAGCTGGCTTTGGACCCTCCGCACCCAAACTTAAAAACCCCATTGCGATCTCCCAACTCTTACCACGGATCCCCTCCGTCTCTTATTGTTACGCGACTTGGTTCATCATAAGTAGACCAGCCAATTCACTGCCCCGCAGAACCATCCGTTTCTTCTCTCAAACCATCTTGTTATTTGCTTCCCCAGTCTTTCGCATCCAGATCAACACCCTTACCGCTACATCTCCTTGAAGGACCACACCCTCATTATATCGCGCCATCTATCTCTATCGTTTATTGCATTTCACATTGGGCAGACGTCCCTACAGTTTGTGAATATTAAACTTCAACCGAGCTATACCACGACAAGATGACTACTCCCACTCTGATCAATCTCCCTCCCCCGCCATCGGACCCAGTAACTCCATCGGACATGGGGCCGTAAGTTCCCCAGCTTGTTCAAGCTTTCATTCTTATTGTGTCATGCGGCTTTTCGCCCTTTTCTTCATTTCTATAGTACAGATCAAGCTGACAAGAAGTTTGCGACGCACTAGAGGGACCCCGAACTCCGGCACGACTTCGTTGTCGGCCTTGTCTACGACCGCCATCAAAGATGGCCATCAGGGTCAGCCTCTTCCCCACGGTCGTCACGCCCACCACTCCCATTCCGCATCCGCTACATCCACTACCACGCTGGAAGCAGAACGCGCCGACCGTATCTCGCGTCTAGCAGGCCTGGAACGAGTGGCCACGGCTCGAGCAGGTGGCACTCCACAGCCCTCGGGCATGATGGCAGGGACTCAATACCCCGGCTACTTTGACAGTGGATCTGGGATCAAAGAAAGAAGTACGGTAGGTAGCGCCAGTGCGACAGGCAGCGTGGGCGCCCGCACGACCTGGGCCAGTGGCAGTGATGCGTTCGATGCAGACCGAATGAGCGAGTACCCGGAGGACGGGACGTCCAGTGTAGGCAACTACAGCGATGAAGGCGACGCTAGCCTGGTGGCATTCGGCGAAGGTGCCAGTACTATCAGTGGACCAACTTCACATCCGCTGCTGAACCGAACATCATCGGGACATCGACCTAGCTCATTGGGCAGCCCTGGAGTGAGCCGTGCGAGCGCATTCGCATCCCACCATCAACAACACTCTGGGGAGGGCGCGATGCTGCTGTCGACCCAGTCGCCGACCGGATCCGTGACACCAGAACCTACACAAGATGCGCGGATGGTCGATGGGATGACGTTCGACTCGGATGTGATTGACACCACGGTGAGGACCCCGCGATTGGCCACTCCCGCTCAAGGTGGCGAGCAGCCGACTTTTTGAGTTACTAGTTTGCTTCTTTTGTGAATGAAAGAGGGAGACAGACAAACAGACAGTTTAATGGCAATAAGGGCGGATTGTCAAAAGGATAGGATTACGGGCGTTGCTGCTAAGTATTCCAAATTTCAATTAAGTTGAAGGGTTTTTGGCATTGTAATTGTACGGAAAAAGAATGGACATGTTTTTGCTAGGCAGGGGGGAAAGGAGGATAAGATCATTATTGGCGAGGGAGGCTTTTGTGGGCTCTTGTCATTTATTTACATGGTTCTCTAGGATGAGAGAGAGAGAGAGAGAGAGGGAGAAGTCGGGATATCAATGAATATTTACTTGTAGAATAGTTAGCTAGCAGCGAGTCATTTGGTTTTATTTATTTATTTTAAGTTATTTTTTTTTTCCAAGTTAATTTGTGAAGCAATTGAAAATGCCCACCAGCCAGTCTTGACGAAACTACGACGATGTTAAGTTAATTGGGATTAGATTAATCTAAGCATTACGGGTCCAACGAGGAGGATCTCCATCCCGACCGGAGCAGGACCAGATTGACTCCAACAGGCGAATCGGGGCGAATCTTCTTTTTCCTTCACAATTGCTAAAAGTCTAGACTCCCGGGAGCTCTGTTACTTGTTGTCCCTCTAGCAGTTGCCTCCCATGTATGGCAGGAAGCATCGTAGTCATATTGTTAATCTAGAAAGTAGATATAAGTTACTGCAAGTAGTAACAAATTAAGAGAACCTAAAAGAAGTAGTTGGGGAATAGGTAAAATAAATGGAGGCGAAAAACGAGCAACAATTCTACTGGAACTTGGTGAACTGGGGCCGAGATCGCCCAATGGGGAGGGGGGATTCCATCGCGGGTCCCCCTTCAGCCTTTCAGTCCCTCAGTCTGGCTTCTCTCTCTCTCTCGGCGCCTCTGCTTCCTCTTCCTCTTCCTCTTCTCTCTCTCTTCCTCTCTTCCTCTTGTCACCTTCCCCACCCCCTTCCAACTTCCTTTCCCCCTCCTCCTCCCTCCAACCCCGACTGTCTTCCTGTCCCTGTCATTGCTGGCATTGACTTGTCAAGCATCGAGAAATTCCCCCTTTGGAACCGGAGACTCGTACTGAGGTATTCGTTCAATCCCGCCAAGCTTCGCTGCCATCCACTTTTGAGTCTTTGTGTGTGTTTGTGTGTTTCGCGGCACTCCAGACCACAACTTCTCGCCACGCTTTCAACCTCCCAACGGCCAATATCTTACACCTCGTCCACTCTCGATCTATCCTTTCGTCTTCGTTATCTCTACCCCCCGGTAGTAAAATTTCCGTTCAGTCTTCCCGCTGGAACACTTCCGAAGACTATCCGTGCATTTTTTTTCTGCTGCCCTGTTACACACTACCTAAGTGGCGGGGAACGTTTCTCTTCTTCTACCACTGAGATCCTGGGTTTTGTGATATTCCCTGGTCTGTCGCATTAGCATCGTCTGTGCGCGCGCCTCTAGCTGCTCCCGTGGCTTTTGTGAATACGTGTTTCGTCCTACCAGAGTGAAACGTTGAGAGACATTTCGAAATGGCAGCTCCCACTCAGCTTGCTTGTGAGTCTACCTACTCTTTAATTCTTCTTCCCAATCTATAATAGAGGACTCTCGAAAAAGAAAACATTCTTTTACTTTCTCGGGGAATTTATTTTTGGCTGTTCAAGGGCAACTCTAATCAGCTACAGACCGTACGGTCAAGGGCGTTGGCATCTTGGATGCCGCCCCAGTTTATGAACCTTTGTCGGGGTTCGAAAGGTATGTAACGTCTAATTCGTTCGATCTTTCTACTCCGAATAGCTTGCTAATCTTCTGATTTTTTGTTTGCAGACCCGAAGGAAACCTTCGCTGTAGCGCTTACTCTCCCTGCGGCCGGTATTTCGCATGGGCATCCCCAGAGAAGTACGTCAACCGACTCTCACTGAAACCGATAAAGGAGAAAGGGAAACTTACAAGTCGCTTACTAGGGTCACCATCGTCGATCCCTCTGTCGGACATGTGGTCTCGACCATCGCTGCTGATAACGTTTTCGAGCTGGGATTTTCGCCCCTCGGAACCTACCTGATCACCTGGCAACGCTCTTCCAAGGATGCCAACGGCGATGCGGTCAAGAACCTGAAGGTCTGGCAGGTCGTGCAGTCGTCCGAGAACGGCGATGTGGACACGCCTGTGGGCAAGTTCGTCCAGAAGTCGCAGACGGGCTGGAACCTTCAATACACCTCCGACGAGCGTTACTGTGCCCGGGTCGTCACCAACGAAGTCCAGTTCTACCAGAGCGAGAACCTGTCTCAGGTCTGGAATAAGTTGCGTGTGGAGGGGGTTGCGGACTTTGCCGTCGCTCCTGGCAAGAACCACTCTGTGGCCGTCTTCATTCCTGAGCGCAAGGTACGTATGGTGCACTTGTTTACAACCCCGATGAGAGTATCATTATTCCAGAGCTAATACATTGCTGCTTAGGGTCAACCCGCCGCTGTCAAGGTCTTTTTGGTGCCTCAGTTTGGAGCCCCCGTCTCGCAGAAGACCTTCTTCAAGGGCGACAAGGTCCAGCTGAAGTGGAACGAGCAGGGTACCACCCTGATCGTGCTTGCGCAGACGGACGTGGATCGGTCGGGCAAGAGTTACTACGGCGAGACCACTCTCTACCTGCTCAGTGCTGGTGGTGGCTTCGACTCTCGTGTGGACTTGGATAAAGAGGGACCTATTCACGATGTGACCTGGTCTCCCAACTCCAAGGAGTTCGGTGTGGTGTACGGCTACATGCCCGCGAAGACCACCATCTTCAACTTCCGTGGTGTGCCCAAGCACACCTTCGCTCTGGCCCCTCGAAACACCATCCTTTTCTCGCCCCACGGACGGTTCGTGCTGGTGGCTGGTTTCGGCAACTTGGCCGGTCAGATGGACATCTACGACATGGACAAGAACTTCCACAAGATCGCCACCGTCGAAGCCTCCAACGCCAGTGTCTGCAACTGGTCCCCCGACGGTCAGTACATCCTGACGGCCACCACCAGCCCTCGCCTCAGAGTCGACAATGGCATCCGTATCTGGCATGTCAGCGGTGCTTTGATGTACAACGAGGACATGAACGAGCTCTACGATGTGTGCTGGCGCCCCCAGTCGCTGATCCAGCACCCTCTCGGCGATCCGTTCAGCCCGCTTCCGACCCCCCACCCCTCCGCCGTGGCGTACCTGAGCACCAAGAAGGCTCCGGTCAAGCCGGCCGGTGCGTACCGGCCTCCCGGTGCCCGCGGCCAGCTCACCCCTCTCGCCTTCAAGCGCGAGGATCAGGGCGGCGCGGTCTTTGTTCGGGATGGTGCCAGTGGCGGTGCTACCGTTCATACCACGAACGGATTTGGCCGGACGCGCAGACGTGAGGTGCCGGGTGCCGAGCCGGCCGAGGAATTCCTTCCTCCGGGAGCCGCTCCTGGAGGTGGAGTCGCTCTGCCCCCTGGTGCCGACCAGCCGGAGAAGCTGTCCAAGTCCGCTGCGCGCAACAAGAAGAAGCGTGAAGCCAAGAAGCAGAAGGATGGTGAAGACGAGCCGAGCCCGGACCGCCGCGGTGAGAAGGGTGACAACCGTTCCAAGGGCCAGAATGAGCGCAAGAACGGCGGCCAGGCCAATGGAGCTCAGGCACCCAAGGCCAATGCCAATGCCAACAATGCTGCTGCTGCCGCTGCTGCTGCTGCCGCCGCCGCAGCAGCCGACGCGAGCGGTGTTCACTCCGCGCAGGACAAGAAGATTCGCGGTCTTTTGAAGAAGATCCGCGCGATCGACGAGCTGAAAATGCGCCTTGCCGGTGGAGAGAAGCTCGAGGATACGCAGATGAAGAAGATCCAGACTGAGGAGTCGGTGCGCAAGGAGCTCGAAGGTCTGGGCTACAATGGATAGAGCAGAGGCACCCATATCCTATTGGGTCATGGATCTGGATTACTACTAAACAGCATTTCAATCAACACCCATTTGGAAATATGCGCACCGGTTTCTGCGCTGTTGGCGTTACTCCCTTACACTATATGATGATTCTTTACTTTTCTTTTCTCTTCTTGGCTGGCTGCCTGTATGAATTGTACATATTATCCAGTGGCTCTGGCTGGTCTGTTTGCTGTGACGGAGTATTATCTTCTCTGATCTGATCTGGATGGATGTCGATGATATAGCTTTCTGGTGTGTTAGAACTGTGTTCAGCGAGGGGTGATATTAGCTATTTTACCCTGTATATCTGTATATACATACACCGAAAGAGTCAAAAGAAAAATAAAAGAGAGGAAGAAGAAGAAGAGGCGAAGAGACTAGACCTTACTTTCCTCCGTGCATCACTCAGTATACGATAGTAGTAATTCGGTAATGTTCCCATTCATCCTTTCATTCGTATGAGCATACACTCTGGGTAGCATTCAATATATAGTAAGTAGGTAATTAATTCGACCTGATTGAATTCATCATTATCCTTACAAGCTTTTCTCATTTGGCTGTCAGGTGGGTTCATGTTGATCCGTGGACAAATGTATATATATGTTTGGAATGCTCCCCCAGTCACTACACCACGATTGTCCTTGACAATGTTCTTGCAAATGAAGTACGAGATAACTTATTGAAAGCGAGTGATACTATATGCTAGATATCCATTTTTCTAACCATAGTACATTCAATATCTACATCTACAGATAGACCTATGACCTACACTTAAAAAAAAAAAAAAAAAAAAAAAAAAAAAAAAAAAAAAAAAAAAAAAAAAAAAAAAAAAAAAAAAAAAAAAAAAAAAAAAAAAAAAAACCAGAAAACAATAATGTCCCCACCAATTCAACCCCCCTCATCCAACCCCCACCCCCAACACCAGCAGTCCCTAACCCATCCACTCGCATCTGATACTGATGTAGATATTTCCATCAAATCTCCATCCCTGCGAGAACGCATAGACAGAGAAAAAACAGACGGACAGACCAGTACCGAGTCACGAGGGAGAGAAAGGGAAAGGAGCGGAGGACTCAGTCCGATGTTTGAGGATGGGGTGGTTGCTGGGTTTAATGATGAACCCGGTTGTGGGGAGGGTTGATTGCTTGTCCTTTAGAAGAATTCTAAAGAACGAAGAAATTGGATGATGGGATGGAGATAGTTGATGTCTCGCGACCGATACAGAGCTTATCCTTTCGAACCCGGCCCCCTTCTTTCTCGCACGATAGGGATCGTGTGGAAGAGGAAGGGTGGGAGGGAAGGGATTTCAAGGCATGGACCTCGCCTTGCGCTCCACCTTGCAGTGCGAATTTTGGGGATTGGGGTCTACGGGGGGTGAAGGGAGGAGGAGAGGAATGAGGTGTGATTGATGGATGGGTATCTCTGTTCTTGATTTCAGCTTCATTTGTTAGGAACATGTGGGAGCATATGTGGAAAAGGGAGGGTGGTTGGCGTTCTGCCGTTGACACTGTGTCTGCTTAAGTGAAGACGCGTGTCCGCTTGATGGGGCTTCCTATACGGAGGGACCGATTTGTGCTCGCCATGCCACTTAGGAGTCGGTCCATTCCTTCCACGCCGAGCTGCCCTCTTTGGAGCATTTGCTGGTCTGTTTCCTTGGTGGGAGGCTCGGGGATGTATTCGGTAACGGGTGCTGGTGCTGGTTCAGTCAACCGTGGGGCGAGAATCACGAGTCGATGTTCGGCCGTGAGAAGCATGTCAAATGGCTGTGTGCGAGTGGAGCGGGGCGCCGCAGGGAGGTGTCCGATGCCTTTCAGGCGCTCTCCTACTAGGGTGATATCTTGGAGAGGAGACACCCGACAGCGGTTGGATGAGTCGAATGTACCACTAGCCTTGACAGCGTTGCGCCACAAGGAGAGCAGACTGGGAATGACTGCGCTCTGGTTTCCATGCTGCAGCAAAATCGATTCATCGGGCAGCGCGTCCCTCCAAGAGTTAGTCTGATACACCGAGATTCCTCCACTCAGAGATGGGGTGGCTGTGCCAACGGAGGCGCCTTTGAGCAGCGTGTCTTCGCGCAGACGTTTGGTAGATGGCGTCAGGGGCGCAAACTTGGGCCGTTGTTCGAAGGAAGGTGCGCTTGTTTCAGACCGACTGGCGCCAGGCAGGGGACTTAGAATCCTACCGCTGACGGAGAACGTTGTCAAAGATCCTCCCGTCACTCCCTGTACACTCGACTGTCGCTGAAGCGGACCCTTGATGGTTCCGGGGCCAGCCCCTTCCAAATCCCAGACACCCCATTCGCCATCAGACGTGAGGACCAAGATGGCACGACCCCCAAGCACCCATTCCGCGTGAGTAATGATCTTCCGCCGAGGGAGCCCCGAAGCAGACTGCTCGAATCCGGGGTAAAGACTGATCAACCACCTCCCTTCCGTGTCGACTGTCTCAAACTCGCTCTGGGCCCCGGACGACCTCCGCGAGGCCTTGAGTGGTTTCGTGGAAAAGCAGGAGTATACCTTGACACATCCACTGTGGAATGCGACGAGCAACGTGGAGTGTCGAAGGGCAGGGTAACCCGAGGGATTGAAAGAGATGTTCACAGCAGGAGCGGGCAAGTGTCGTCGCTTAGTCTCAATCTCATCATCGCATAGATGATATACTGTGCCGCGGGCCTTTTCATCCTCTGCGACCGGAATCCGATGAATGATCAAGAGACCTGACGACTCAGCCGAATGTGTCGCGACGAGGAGATCCCACCTTCCTGTAGCTGAGCGGGATGAGCCACGGCTTGAAGATGTATCCTGATCCTGCTGATCTGACTCTTGGTAGGTGAAGGCGATGCTAACTCCCCGTGGAATCTCCTGGTGCGATACTCCACCACTGATTGAGGTCGACTGAATTGCGAAATCGCTCTGCGTGGGATGAGGGGGAAGCAAAGGCAGAGTTACAATGCGAGTAGAATAGTCTGCGCATACAGCGGCAACTATGATGTCCTTCTTCAGGACCGGGGGGAATGGATCGAGCGAAGAACGCGCTGTTTCAGGGAGGACACGAGGCACGGCCAGCTGGAGGACTCTGCTTCCAAGGGGTATATCGATCTGGCGCAAAACATCGTCGTAAGGGTGGAAGGGGTCCACCTCGGTTTCGTCCTCCTCGAACTGATAGGTGGGCTCTTCATCTTGCTGAGTGTGCTGGGTCTCTGCCATGCTCTCCTCATCGGAATCGATGATCATGACCGCATCATCATTGGCGTTGCTGGCTTTCTGTGGTTTGTCCACTTTCGGCGCAGAAGGCTTCTCGGCGGAGAACTGTCTTCCTCCTCTCCAGACTACCTTCAGTCCAGTCTCATAACCGTAAACAACAATCGACGAGCCATTGGGGGCAAGGAGGGGGTAGCCTTGAGCTGCGTGCACACGATGAGGGAGTTGGTAGCTAGATGGAGTGTCCGGTAAGCACGGGGTTGCTGTTATGGCCCAAAACGGAATGTGAATCTACCTTAGTTGAAGGCCATCGTCCCTAGGCCTTACCAGAGGTCGAGATGGGAAGGACGGCATTGTTGTGGTGGCGGTTGTTTGTACGGTCAAGAACAGAGCTCAAAGGGAGACCGACGCCGCCAACAGGCAGATCGTGTTACCAAGCTTAGCGATAGAGATGTGTTTATGACCTGTAGCTGAAGAAACTAAGAGTAATCAAGTATGATAGAAGAGCGAGCGTTGAGAAAGGCAATTAGTGGGAGGGTGGTGAGGAAGAAGGTGAAAGAGAAGGAAGTTTGGGGAGGCCGCGGAGGAAAAAAGCCGCTGAGTTGAGGATGGAAAGTTGGCCCGCCGCGTCCATCGCGTCTCCAAGCAACAGCCTGCCTTTGCTTCCCCTCACGCCGCAACCACCTCGACAACGCCCCCAACAACGCCCATTGTCGTTGATCCGTCAAGCGCGCTGGCCTGCCTGTTTGATGGTCTAACCTGACAATGGGCATGATATCGCCTCTGGCTCCCACTGCCAGAAATTCTACCGCTACGCCCGACGATATACACCGATAATGGCTACAGTTCGATCCCTCGGATTGCATGAGCCCTCGGCCATCGCATTCCTCGTCGCAGAAGGCCTCTTGCCTCCAGATCCCTCGGAGGAGCTCTACTCATGGACAACAAGCGTTGATCGAGACTCCAACGGCCTGGTCGAAGATGAGATTGTTTGGACAAGAAGCTGTGCGGTTTGGTCACGAGCGGGGGTGGTCAAGAGAGTGTTCCGACTTGATTTAGAGAAGGAGGAGATCAGACATGCTTTGTTGACAAGATTTGCGGTGGGAAAGATAAAGAGGTCCGAGTCAAGCGTCTCGGAATCCTTAAAAGGCGAGGCAGCGCAGCCAGGCAGTACCTCAGGCCGCAGTCGAGGCTCGCCTGATCATCTTAGTGCTGGGATATCGAAGGGCTCATTGTTGATGCTGGGTCAGAATGGCCAAGGTCCTCGCGATACTAGCGGCACAGACGCGAACAATGCGCGAGCCTTGGTCGTCGTCCTCAAGTCCCAGGCTCACATCTTCTTTCTTGCCGGGAACAGCCATGTCGTGCCCCTACCGTTTGAAGTTGATTCGGTGTTTGCGACCCCCAAGGGCCTTTTGATTCAGAGAAAACTACACGAGGAGGAATCCAATACCTCACTACCGGCAGCGCCGCCGAATTCGTTCGTCTCATCCCTACCTGACTTCCGTGCATCTCAGTCGCTGGACATACCTTCTGGCAAATCCAAACGCCCATCCTTGACGATTTCCCCTGCCCCCAAGCCTGGTCTGAAGCCACGGACAAGCAAACATGCCGACATGCCCAGGGTGTTCTCTCTTATGGATCCGCACTCAGAAATGGGACTCGTCGTGACCAACCAGTCGTCTCGTTGGCTACAAACTAGTGTCTCAACCAGACCTTCTGGATTGGACGTTCTTGACCCAGCGGATGCAATTGTCTATGTATCTCCAAGAGATG